TCAATAACTGGAGCAATAGCCACACACCTGAAATGAGGAATTATTTTGATAGTGGGTTCAGATATGCTTGTTTGAAAACTGGCCTCTTTTTGTGCATAAAAAAGGGATATACGTGTCGAAAATTAAAATGGGGATAAAAAAAAGCTAGGTGAGGTCACCTCATAACAAACTGTGTGAGGAAGAAAATTAACAGAGAAAAATTACTAGTATGTGAAACTATTAAAATTTCTTTTCCTCCTAAGTAAGGGTCCTAAAATACTATTAGGCAGGTATCCAGTGGTAGAAAATATGAGACAGACATAAGTCAAAGTGGCAAACCTTGAGTCATGTGTGTGATACAAATGCAATTTCTAGACTTTGAGTAAGTCGTTCTCAAATAGTCCAGATTTTTAGCTGAATAAAGTCACATGCTTTTTCTTAATCTTTTGGTGTCCAAACTATATGGCTTTATCCCTTTATCCTTCAGTTTTGATAGTGTTCTAGAATACATTCACCAATCTTACACTTCTTTGCTCATAGTTGTTTTTACAAAATTGGTTTAGGCCCTTTGCACTATAATTTTAAATTATTTTTAGACTCTCTGTTCTCCTAGTGTGTTTATTCCCAAAGGACAGGGAATCAGCATTCTTAGGGCAATGTCTGGTTCAGAGAAGATTCTCACTGATAATGAATGAAGGAAGGAATTTGGAAATGGGCCTTGAAAGGAATGGGTTTTGATAAGAAAACATCTGTAAAACAGTACGATTCCTTGAGAGTCCTAAGGCTGATTGATGGTCCAAATTTGTTCATAAGGTTTGGAGAATACAGAGAAAATGAGTATTGGAGCCACAGTGGAGAAAGCTTAGTTTTTCCCCCAGAATAATCCACAGGAGATTTTGAGATCTGGGTCAGCTTCTGACACTTCACTCATACCACCATCCCCACTGCCCAGACTGTCAGCTAAGCTCAGATTATACAAACGACTTAGATTTTAGACCAACTAAGACACAATGAGGAGGGTAAGTCTTCTGGAAAAAAAATTATATGGTGTATTTTCAAAGTCAAATACCATTTACTTTGGATTATTCACACATTGTTCTCCTTCATTAGTACAGATCATGGGAGTCTGTGTTCTTGAAAAATAAAGGATTTACACTGTGATTACATATATGACTACTTGGTATTTATTGCTAAGACCCTAAGTAAATGGAATACCTCCTTATTAGTACAAACTGGGTATAAACACAGACTTTATTGGCAGTGATCTCTTTTATTAAAGCCATGGCATTGATAGGCTGTTGCTTATATTAAAAAATTTTGTGGAAAAGTTAATAGGTGGGATATTTTAATATACTGTGTAATCAAAGTACGAGTGATTTTCTTTTTGTGGAATGTGATGAAAAGGAGTTGTTGGAAGGAGAAAAACCCATATTATCATCATTGTAGAAAAAAAGATTTATCCTAAATTTGCACTTACAGAGCTATTTTGATTCTCTGATCTTTAGTACTCATATGGCCATTTTCCACTTTACTTGTTACTGACAAACAATTTCCCAGCATGCCATGGGTCTTTAAAACCAAAAGATTAGCTGTAAGAAATCATCCTTATGATCTACTTGCACTTAGATCTTGTACCTGCACTAACAGGATTTGCTCATGTTTAAGTAAAAACAGTGTAATTTGTCAGTTAAGGTAAGGTTAGTATTTAACATGGTTTCATGTGATCTGTATTTAGGTGGTCTTGAATAGACTTGCCTAAAGGGTCTTAACGAGTCCTCTGAAGCTAATTATCTGTTGAAATCATTTATGACTAAAAATGTGGCACTTAGTTTCTGGGAATGTCATATGGATCCTCAAGTAAAATAATGCCGTTTTTTTCCTGCATTCAGTTCTCTTGCAGCTAGCAGGTGATGCTTTACCAAATGACATGACCTTGGCTCTTGCTTATCTTCTTGCCTTACCACAGGTATGTTTACCCTTATCAAGAAAGAAGTGCTTTAAAAATGTGTAAAGTGAAAATCTGTGTTGGGGGTTTTTATCAGTAAAATGTTTATGTTTTACTTCCTTCTGATCGTTCTTGCATGCTTAAAGGACTGTGGTCTGTGTTCAGAGAGTAAATTCTACAGTGTTAGCTGAAATGTTCGTTTTGAGGTCTGCTTTTACGAGATCCTTATAGTGTCTTCTGAATTTGAATGTAGTCCTATTAAGTTGAGGTTGAGTTGATACGATGATAACTTTGAACAAAAATTCTATAGCAATGACGAGAAATGTAATAGTTTATGATGATGGTGCTAATTTCCTTTCAACCGAGTCTGTCTTGCCATGTGTTCTTCTAGGTGTTAGATGCCAACAAGTGCTTTGAAAAGCAGTCCCACTCGGCTTTGTCTCTCCAGCTGGCAGCATATTACTACAGCCTGCAGATCTATGCCCGGTTGGCTCCGTGTTTCAGTGACAAGTACCATCCACTCTACAGGGTGAGTCCTCACCATTTCTACTTAACTAAACAGCAGAGTTAGAGCTTTTCTAAAATAATTAAAACACAGGTTTACCTCTTTGGAGGGACTGGTCCACTTTGATCTAGAATGCATTCTAGTGGCTGACAGCCCTTCTCTTTTCTGAGTTAGAGAGAGTTGCTTTTCTAGGCATTAGTAAGCAGTGGAGTTTCTAATATTTATTGTGAATGCCCATTCTTCCCCTAACTTTTCTGTCATTTACTCTGTTTTACAAAGTTCTTAGGAAAGTCTAAAATCAGTAGGAGAGAAGAACTGGAGACCTGGCTTTTTAATTCACTGCCCAAAAGGAAGATGGCTTTGTCTAATTTAGGACAGTAGGCAATACAATTCTTTGAGCAGCGCTGCACTTTTATTTATTTTCTAAGCCAGTGATATGAGGGTAGTAGTTGTACAGATGAAATATGGAAACATGCCTACTTGCCACCAAACTTCAGACAACTTGTATATCACTTTATTGTGAATTTCTGAGTGAAAGCACCGTAAGTGTGGTCTCAAATTACATGTGCCGCCTTTTGTGGACACAAAAGTAGTACAGATGCCACTAGAAAAATCAAGGCCGTCCAGGTGTACTCGTATATACCAGTTTTAATTATCAGCATTGGGAAATTAGCTAGTTCTTGTACTGGATCATTTTAAAGCAGTTACTGCTTTGAGTAGATAAGCAAATAGATCAGACTTTAAAATCCACCTTGTGTACAAATCCAAAGTTCAGATTTTATTGAGTCAGGATTCTGCCTTCCCCAACCCAAAGCAGATTATAAAGAAAGAATTTCACATGTGTATCAAAGTTCTAGCTGCCTCATTCATCCAAAACGTATCTCAGAACCTGTAAGTGTGCGAAAACATTCCATTCATAGCAAAGTCTATGGCTTTCATTCATCAATTTTTATTTAAGAAGGGGAAGGGTTGTGGGAACAGTCCACAACACAGGTTAATCTCCACGGGCCTCATCATTATTAGATGTGTCTTGTTCTTGGGCAGTTTTATTATGACATTTGGCTGAGAAAGAGGAATGTTTTCTTCTTTTTAGCTAGCTGATATAAGGTATTACTTTATTTGGGGAATTTTGAATTGATTTTTTGCTTGCTTGTTTTTGATAGCTACTGCCACTTTGTACTATTGCTTTATTCTGTGCTCTAGTAATTTTCCTTTTTTTTCATGTGAAATGAGAAATTGACCTACTATGTTATAAATTCAGGGAATGAAGTGATATGCAGGTGGAAATGTGGCTGGTTATTTCTGGAACAGTGTCCTTGATGTCTTACAATCAACTGGGTCACTGGCAAAGTGTGTTCATGTTGCGTTTGCTGGTGTCTGCCTCTAAATACCCTCACCTTCCCATTAGTGCTATGTATGTACACAAGTACTAAATGATTTGCCCCAAAACTCCATGCTGAAACACAACAAAGCTTTACTCTGACCGAAAGCCCTGTGCCTTGTTATGAACATAGTCAGCTGTGTCCTCAAAATGTACTTCCTGAGGTTTCTAGGTGGATGCCATTGAAATGGGAACCAGGTGCGAAATGGGCTTTCCCTCTTTTATTCCCATGTATGTGATCTATATTAAGGCCACAGGGTGGCCTAGCCATGTTCTCCACACCTCATGAATACAAAGGCCTGAAAGGCCACTCAGTCAACGGGCCCATCACTGCCCCATCCCCGGAGCACCTCCTGTGTGCCGTAGAGTAACCAAGCATCGGGATGAGATGAATCTGGCCGCCTGAACGCGGTGGACTCACCAGTTACTATAAATCCATATTAAGGCAGTTATGTGAGTGTGGATTAGAGGAGCTGCAGATAAGAGGACTGAAAGCCGGTGCAAGACATACAGACTGACTGCGTGTTAGAACTCTCAAGAAAGCCGGTGTGCTTGCTGAAGAGCCACATTTCGGCCTGATCTTCAAGTTTGGTTTCCTGAGGACCTTAATTAAAGTAGTACTTTTGGAGGAAAATTCTAGTACAAAATTTTTTTTTCCTATTCTTCATTATAAGTTACTTTGTAGCAAAAATTAAAAGTCCCGCATCATGTACTGTTTTGTGAGAGAGGTAAGTTAGGAGAAAACCATTAAATTCCATCCTATCTGGTAGTCAGTGTTTCCTACTTCAGATACTGCAGTCACACTTTAAGAAACCCCATTTAAGAGTTCCACAGCATGCGAAGCAGTGAATAAGGGTTGGAAGTAAAGGTGTGTCCATCTTGTTTGTTCTGTGTTCCCAACAGTTCTTTTCACTTGGTAGAGACTGTGTTGTATTTTCAAGACTTCTATATATCTTTTCACAGGTACAGCATTTATTGAGTGCCTACTGGAAGGACATAGAGCTCGGCATTGCAATGTTAGGAATAGTGAGACTTGATTCTTGCCCTTCTTTACTTTTCACCCCAATTTCTGTCTCTTCCTTACCTGTATCAACCCACTGTCACTACCTGTAAGCTCTTGGTCTTGTTCCTGTCACTCTTCTATCAAACTGTCCTTTTCTTTGAAGATGTGGAGCTCTCCCGTCTCACCCTCACCTTTGGCCTCACCCGCCCTGCGGCATGGCTCCTGGCACCTCTCCCATTCCCTTTCTGAGCCCACCAGCAGAAGGCAACTGCTGTCCAGGGCTATGGCTTCAGGAAGCAGCAGCATATCCTAGTGGGGATAGAAGCCGGTCAGGACCATGCGGCCTGGAGTGTCGCCTCAGCACATGATGTCTAACCTCTCAGCTGCTCCAGACCGAAACAGATGTGCCTCCTGTAGCACCGAGACAGCACGTAGTGAGGTCCTGAGCCAGCTAATTCCCCAGGGACTTCTTGGCGACTCTGGAAAGCATTTGGTTGTTAGTCTGAAAGGTGAAATGAAGACTTGGGGGGTTTTCAGGATTTTCTTTTCCATCAAGATGCAGACATTCTGCAATTGTTGCAGATAGGTGTGTTACGAGGGAGTGGGAGAGTTCCGCCTCTCCAGTGGGTCTCCTCTCTACCTGCCGTCCTCAGATTAATTCAGTCTTGCTCAGGTCTTCGCCCAGACTGCTATCCCAGCCTCTTCTCACTCTGTCTTCATTTTCATTACTGTTGCGTCTGTTTCCAAACATCTGAGTCGTCTTTCTAAAACAAAGAGGAGTGTTCATCCTGTCTTCTGCCTAAAATCAATCCTTTAGTGCTTTCGTGCTGCCCTATTGAGGTTTGCACATTGCTACCTGCTGGTCTGCATGTCCCGCTCCTGGTCTGCATGCTCCCTGCCTCGAGTCTGCACATTCTCCCCGCTCTGCACATACCCGCCCCCCACAGTCTGCGCATCCTGCATGCCTGCAGCCCCGCCTGCCGCTCCAGGTCTGCACATTCCCTCCCCCTGCCTGGGTCTGTACTTCCCGCCCTGGGCTGCGCGTCCCCCACGTCTGGCCTTGTCTGCTTTTCCAGCTTCCTCTTCCAGTGTCCGGCCATGCCAAGCTACTTACACTTCTCGGACACCCTGTGCGCCACCTGTCGCCATGTGTTTGGACACGCACTCTGTGCTGGCAGTGCTTCCCACACCGTCAGCTGTTGACCTCACCCAGGCATGGTTGCTGCCCACCCCCCGCCACTCCTCCACCTACATCTGAACCGCCCTACGCTTACCCGAGTCATAGTGCTTACACTCAGTTCTCCGTTTGTGTGTTTTTCATCTCACTAGATAATAAGCTATTTGAGGCCAGTGTCTGTGTGGTATTAATTGGTTTTCCCAATGCTTAGAGCAGGACCTGGAATATAAAGAGTAGTAAAAAAAAATGTTCACTGTGTAAATTACTGAAAATTATTGAGTAGTTCTTCAGTGCCTATGAAATGACTGAATTGTGTGTGTGTGTTCACCATATGTTTATTAGATGATGACTTTGTCAGGTAGTGTTCCAGGGCCTCGAGAAACTAGTGAAAAAAATAACACTTACCCTTTTCAGACTTAACTTTATTGAGGAAATGCTACCATAAAATAAGTAAATAAAATATATTATGCTGTGTTAGATGGTGATAAGAGCTATGAAACAAAAAGCAAGAAGGATAAATATGTGTGTGCGTGTAAAGACTCCAGTTTAAACAGGCTCAGAAAAGGCCTGAATTGGTCAGGCGACCTCAGACGGGGACAGCACCGTGAAGAGCGTGGGGGAGGGCATCCCAGACGGAATGACAGTCACAAAGGCAGTGAAATGTACTGTGGTATTTTTTTCACAAAATGTTTGAGACAGCATTGAAATTTTACTGTATAAAATTCAAGGCATAGAGGAGTTGCCTGCCTCCAGAGGAAAAGGATAGAAATGCAGTCTGTGACCAGGGTCTCTTCTGTCTGGCTAAGAAAGTGTCAGGAAGGGGTCTGACCCCAACAGTCAGCTTAGGGGCTCGTTTATGGGAGTTGGCAGCGGACCGCAGGAAGGTCACACTGACCCTGAACAGGTGCTGGCCATCTCCAGGTGCCTTTCACATTCACTCAGCCCTTCGATCCTCTGAGCAACCCGTTTGTGGAGGAGGACCTGCAGGAGACGAGGCTCAGGTAAGGCCTCTGTCACTTGTTCAGGGTTGCCGTGGTAGAAAGTGACATCCTGTCACATAGAGCTCCTGATTCCAGGCTTCACCTGCTTTTTATTTACCTGATCAAGCCTTGTTGCAGAAGAAGCCACCCCACTGTGTTGAACCTGAGTGGCTTTTGACATGCAGATCTGACGGGTTGTCCCCAGCAGGGTGTTATGTGCCCCACACTGGCTGCTGGGTAAAATCGCAAGTCCTGTGTATGACAGGGAAGACCCCCAGTGACCTGGCTGGCTCTTCCCTACACCACCGGCCATCATCCTGACTCTTTTGAAGGTTATGTTCTGGTCGTTCAGAATTTGTTTATCTGAATTCAACATCCTTTTTCACACCTCTGTGCCTGTGCAGATGTAATTCCCCTGCCTGAAGTGCCTCCATCTTCCCTGCATCGACAGGTACATCTGAGCTCACAACCTCCTGTGCGAAA